CACACAACCACACACACACACAACCACACACACACACAACCACACACACACACACAACCACACAACCACACAACCACACACACACACACAACCACACACACAACCACACACACACACACAACCACACACACACACACAACCACACACACACACAACCACACACACACAACCACACACACACACAACCACACACACAACCACACACACAACCACACACACAACCACACACACACAACCACACAACCACACAACCACACACACAACCACACACACAACCACACACACACAACTACACAACCACACACACAACCACAGACACACACAACCAGATGTGCATGAATCACGCAACGCTGTCCAGCTCGCGATGAGCCTCCGGCTGATGTCAGCGGGCGTGCGCCGTGCAGGCGACGCTCTCGTTATTGCCAAAGCCGAACGCCTCTGGATTTGAGAACTCGTCTGCATTTCAAATAGACACGTTTCATATTAATATGTTTGAAAGTGTGTTGACTCGACGAGAAGTGCATGTAATTTATTTTATACAGAGATTCAAATTTGCCCCGAAACTTTCCTGGTTATTATGGAACATGAACAAGGACAAAAGATCCCCGTGTAGCCTTGGGGAGATTGTGGGGCAAGTGCAGTTAGCGAGCACCTATTTAAGCCTGCATGACGCCTGCGGGAGTCGAGTGGCAAGCTCCAGGGCCGGCTGCCTTTGTCTTCCCACGCAGAGCTGACGTTTTGCACAATGCACAAGGTGTCTCATCTAAGGCTGAGTCCACCTAGTGGAGACCTCATACCGGTTCAGGTATTTGTCACTGACGTTGGCGAAGTTGGCTGTGAGCAGGAATCAATCTCTGATTTCTGAGCTCGCAGGACGGTGCGCTAACCATTGCACCACTGCTCCCAGGCACACGCAGACAACGCATCACACACGTGGGGCCCGGGGGTGGCGGGCCTGCTGCTGCTGGTGGTCGTAGCGTTGTTGTTGGTGTTGTTGGTGTTGTTGGTGTTGTTGGTGATCGTGAAGGTGCTAGTGGCGGTATTGGCAGTCATGGTACTGGCGGTGATGTTGGTGCTGGTTGTCGTGGTGGTGGTTGTCGTGGTGGTGGTGGTGGTGGTGGCGATGGTAGCAGTGGGATTTTTTTCGTAGTGGCGACAGTGGTGATGGCTCTGGTGTTGTTAATTTTGGTTGCAATGGTGGTGATGTTGGTGTTGGTTTTCATGGTAGTGGTGGTTCTGGTGGTAGTGGTGGTGGTTGTAGTAGTGGTGGTGGTTGTAGTAGTAGTGGCGGTGCTGGTTATGGTGGTAGTGGTGGTGGTTGTAGTAGTGGTGGTGGTGGTTCTGGTGGTAGTGGTGGTGGTTGTGGTAGTGGTGGTGCTGGTTCTGGTGGTAGTGGTTGTGTAACCCCGTGTGCAGTCGCGATGAGTCGGCTCCCATCGTTGATGCAGACAACGCGCATGTATCACACACCACGGTCCATACATAACCTCACCGCCACCGTGTCTTGGGGCGCAAGACGCACGCGTCGGGTTGGTACATGTCTCTCACGTGTTACATGTCTCTCGCGTGTTACATGTCTCATACATGTTACGTGTCTCTCACATGTTACGTGTCTCTCACATGTTACGTGTCTCTCACATGTTACGTGTCTCTCACATGTGAGTGAGCGAGTGATGCGGCACGGATATAGCTCAGTCTGTACTTAGAGCCAGACCAGTCCTGACGGTGGCATGTTTTATTTTCAGCCTCCTAAAGGTCGTGGGTGATATTTCATTGTCGTGGGTTTGATTGTGAGCCCAGGACGACGATGAGCGTCTGTATCTGGGGGTTCTGAAGGGCGGACGAATCTTGTTTTTTTTTGACATCTAAATGTGACATCAGATCGATATTTTTTCACCCGAAAACTAAAATATTTCAACGGTTGAGAGGGGTGGAGGGACGCTCCGCTTGAGCCGAGCTGCGAGCTGCGGCATCGGCAGCCTGTAGCGAGCAATCCGCACCAGGGCTTTCTGGCGCTTGAGTCATCAGTTTAGTAATGTTGTGATCATCGTCATCGGTTATTTATCTTCCGGTGTTTTACACTAAGTCAGGACAATGTATTACAAGCTGATAAAACACAACTTTACGAGCATTTTTGAAAATCAAACCTACATCGTGTGTCATGCTCACGTAACGGGATATGTGTCAATGACGGGGCCTTACACTTTATCCGAATTGTTCCACTGGACGACCATCAAAACGTGGTCTTGCAGTGAAGAAAACAAAGATACCCCAAGACACGCGGCTGCTCTTGTTTGCTTTATAGAGCTCAACGTGCAGTGCGTGTTGTCACGTGTTGCAGGTTGTGTGGTCACGCGCAGCACGTGGTCACGCGTAGCACGTGGTCACGCTTCACGCGTCGAGCGTGCGGCACTGCGCAGCTCACCTGGGGCGCTGACTGTGATTTGTGATTCGGTGGAAGAATAACGTTTTGATATTTTGTTTGTCGTTGTGATGAAAGCATGCCGAGCAGTGGCTGCCGGGTTTATCACATAGAACATCGTCATGAGCAACAGCAGCCATGATCGATCCACTGCTGGATGATGCCCTCCCCAAATTGTTGGCACCTTGTGTGGTCCCACCTACCTTCCGCACACGAGTCGACGGACCTCCTCTGGGCCGTGTTCCCTCCTTTGGCTGCCACTCAGTCGTTAGTCTCGACACGCGCCCGTCTCCCCATCCCTCTCGCTCTCAACAACATCGCGTCCGTCGTGAGCGAGGGAGTCGAACGTTATTCCGCGAGTCGATCGACGCGCCCCCTGACTCTACATCCCGCGAAGAGCTTATTGAGATTCTCACCATCGTGCCGAAACAAGGGAGACCTGGGGCGGTGGTTCTCCGACGTTGGGGGAGGGGGTTGGTGGTAGTCATTGATGTTGGAGTATTTTATTTTCTCCCTGGGGGGCGGGGGGCTGTGCTCGTGCCCGTGATTTGTCCGGGCGGTAGCGGCAGGTGCGGCAGCCGAGATAAAGAGCCTACGGGCGCACGCGCGAGCCTCTCGGCCTCTCTTGACAGATCACTTATTGCAGCTCTCTTCCGCCACGTCAAAGGAATTATCACGAGCCCGCCCTGCGCATTCCGTTCCTCGTTATCTGTCGCACAAATTGGATTTTTTCTTACTCTCAAAAATGTGTTTAAGTAATTGGAATTGGGTGGGAATTTTTTTTTAATCTGCTCTGTGATGGTGACACGTTTCGTACGGAGGAAGGTTTTGCTTTGTTTACAGAGGGGGCTTCGCGGGCCCTGAGCGCAGATGCCCACAGGCTCGAATCGACAAGCGGCCAGCGACAAACAGCACCGCGCAACGGATTAGAGTACGCAACACGCTTCCTGAGTAGACGCGTGGGGGGCTCCCGTGCGTGCCATCCGTGCTGCCCTCGCGTCACCGCCGCGCTCGCCTCCACTCGGGCCCACGTCCACCCCAGGCGCGGCCGCCGCCTCGCGGTGCCACCGTGGGCAGGGCCACGCTGCGCGAATCTGTCGTCCTCCAAGGGCGCGGCTCTCGAAATCGCGAAAATTCGCGATCCCTAGGAAAATGTTTTGACAGAAACCGCGGCGATGTCTGAACCATCGCGAACACCGGAGACGAACGTCGAGTAGGCGACGCGATTTCTCCAGCACGTGGCTCTAAATCGAGCTGGGCCGCAATCCAATTGCCTCGGTAACCGATGACTCATCGGATAACGTGAAAATAGTTCGTGAGAAAAATATTTCATCTCCGTTCCCACGCATCCTGCTGAGCGGAAGGTGCAGAGCGGGGCTTGGCGATGCCATCAGCATCATCAGCCGCGTCACGCCGCGTGTTGGTTGTCGGGGGGTTTCCCACCTTCGGGAGGCAGGATGGAGGTGGGGGCGCGATTCTATAAAGGGGCCCCGAGTCACCGAGCACAAACGACGTGGTCGTTTTAATCCGCCTAGCCGGTTTAGAACTTATTTTTGTGGCCTTCCCCAACACCTCCAAATAGCGCGGTTGGCTATGTACGGTGCGATAGAAGTTCAACATACATACATACCAGGGGCGGTTTCTTCATTAGGGCGATTGGGCGACGCACCACCAATGTCATTCAACCACAGAGTCACGCTAGCCGTCACTGTGCCTCTGGATATAGTCCAATCAGCGTCATGCTACGTTCTGTGGAGTACCGCCTCTTTTTGGGCGATTTCCCTCCAGCTGAGAATCGCCCCGAGTGGCCCCATAGACTTACATTCAAAGAAGTTTTTTTTCGAACGGGGGCGCTGCAATGCATTCTCTATGGATTCCGGGAGGGCTCGCCCGAACGTGCTTACGTCATCATACGTGCTTACGTCATCATACGTAAGCACGTTTCATCCAACAATATAATTTGTTGCCACCTAGTGGAATCTTTAATAAAATAAACTTGAGTGGTTTGTTTTAATAGTGAGTATAGAAACAAACAAGATGTATTGTAAGAGTCACTTTATTTTTCATTAATATTAAAGAAGTGAAGTTGCCTTTACATGCTTAAGCTGTTAATTTATCCATTGCATGGGTGGACCTTATCCTTATCAATCATCCAGACATTTGCCCCCCCTGAGAGATTTTGCAGGAGCCGCCACTGATACATACATAGATGACGGACATAGAGAACATGCGTAGAGGACGTGCAGAGAGGACGGACGTAACGAAGTGGTCTTGGGCAGGATACATTGCGAGAAGGGATGATGGCCGATGGCTGAGCAGGACCACGGACTGCAGCCCAAGGAGGGAGCGTGCCCAAGGGGCTCGTCTGCACCAGCTCGATGGGTTGTTGCATCCAGATATTCGTGAGGGATGGCTATTGCTTAGGGGGGGGGTTCTGTATCCAGCAGTCGGTAGTTCGTGGCTGCTGATGATACGGGTTTACGGATCGTGCATCTCGCTCGGATTTCCGTGATCACTCCTCTCGGCGTCAACTCCGTTTCTTCCCCCCCCCCCCCCCTCTCTCTCTCCCTCTCCTCAGGTCTCGGATAAAACCGAACAGAGCTCTCAGAGGAATCGGTGCCCACTCCCACCACCACCACCTCTTCCATGTGACAGGTGCCGCGTGCCAATCCCCACACGCCCCGCCGCTACTGCCGGTGCCGCGGGGCTCACGTCGAGTCGCAGGGGCGTGCGTACCAGGCTAGGTGCGTGCTTACCAGGCTAGGTGCGTGCTTACCAGGCTAGGTGCGTGCGTACCAGGCTAGGTGCGTGCGTACCAGGCTAGGTGCGCGCGTACCAGGCTAGGTGCGTGCGTTTTGCGTCGTCGCAGTTTAGCGGAACGTGGCCGGGCCCGCGGTCAGCGGAGCGATGCCTCGGGGGCTCCGTCCGAACCTCGTGGTTCTGAGGGCGCGGGAGCAGCGGCAGCTGCATCCACAGATTTGCGTTTGTTTCGTGGAACCCGACTCCGCCTCAAAGCTGTCGCGCTTGGGCAGGAGAGCGCCGCTTCTGCTGTGCAGTTGCGCATCCCTTGCGGAGTAAACAAAACACGACGAGATCGCACTCTGCCAAGAGTGGGAGGGGCGCGTGAAAGCGCGAGCGGTTTCGGAGTGGAGGAGTGGAACACTGCACGTGACGGGCTGTGCGGGTTGTGGTCTTCACGTGGACACCATTTTCGCGTCTTCACTTTGGCTGCATTCCCCGTTGCCTGCCAGTCGCCGGGGCGAGGTCGCCCGCGTGGACAGACGCGGACCGGGGCGGGCCGGGGCGCGTGGCACCGCGTGGCACCGCGTGGCACCGCGTGGCACCGCGTTTGCAGGGGCAGCGTTTGGGTGACTCAATTGATGACGGGTCAATTGGTTTCGGTTCCATTGATGGTTCAATCGGAGCGCGGGCAACGGAATGTTGAAATGAGTGACTGCGAGCCGTGACACGGGGTGACTCCGCTGCATCTGCTGCGGGAGATATATTCCGTGTTTCAATTAACCACAGGAATTGAGTTTGTACTCAAGCACCCCTCCCCCCTGCCCCCCCGCCCCCCACGCCACGTGTCTGGATGTTTGACCAGCGCGAGGCAGCTGCCACGAGAGCGGTCGAGTTTTCTTTTCTTTCCCCGCACGAATTTGCCGCGCATTGCCGGGGCCCGAATTCTTCATCAGAATTTGAGGTCGATGAGCATCGAGGCTTTGGGGCTCACCTCCTGCTTACAGCCCTGCACAGACCCAGTGGTGTAAAGTCCACATTCGTATGGCGGGGGTGAGTCGATATATCGACCGCTGTTGACTTACCCACAAACCCTCAAACCATCTGATTGCGAGTCGCTCACCCAACTGCTTGGGCACCTGGCCAGAATATTTTAAAAACTCAAATAAATAGATAATCGCGTTTGTGGGGGGCGACCGACCCTCATCGATGTGGGGACTCTAAGTTGGAAAATCATGGAAGAGCCACCTTTTATTTTTTACAATTGAAGCTGTCCATCAACTGGCACCTCCGATTATAATGACGGGTGGCTACGTACGGTGCGAAAGACGTTCAACATCATCGAGTGCTCGACACTCGGCTTGTGGGAGACACGGCCGGAGTGAGATTGGCGGTCCATGAGAGCGAGGGCAGGAGCCCCACCTCGTCAGCTCCGCCACACGCCCCACCTCGTCAGCTCCGCCACACGCCCCACCTCGTCAGCTCCGCCACACGCCCCACCTCGTCAGCTCCGCCACACGCCCCACCTCGTCAGCTCCGCCACACGCCTCACCTCGTCAGCTCCGCCCCACCTCGTCAGCTCCGCCACACGCCCCACCTTGTCAGCTCCGCCACACGCCCCACCTCGTCAGCTCCGCCACACGCCCCACCTCGTCAGCTCCGCCTCACGCCCCACCTCGTCAGCTCCGCGACGCGAAGCAGGCCTGAGCCTGGTTAGCGCCTGGATGAATACTCCAAGCCTATAATACCTGGAATGAATGTATGTTGAATGTATTTCGCACCGTACGTAGCCAAGCGTTGCTCCTCGGAGGCGCGGCATGCCAGCATTGTGTCGGCTTGGGCTGTGAGATGGCCAGAAAATGTAAGTACAGAAATTGATGTTTGAATCCCCGTCATGCACGCGTGTGCTCTGTCTGAGTGCTAATCCCGCACGAAAACAAACGCCCATTCACGTTAATGGCCATCACTTGAGACTCGGGCGATTCGGTGATGTGAGTTTCCACTCTGATGTTTCGCGGCTGACGTCCGTGGTGATGCCAGCATTGGAATAAGTACCTGATGAGTACATAGGCACTGGGGAGACAAAGGCGGACGGGTGTAGTTTTGGCGACTCCATTCCCTTGTGGACCGTACAGGGCTTAACGGGTGCTCGCTAACAGCACTTGCACCCACAGTCTGGTGATGACCGTGCGGCCTTGTGTTTGTGGTGGGGGGGTGGTGGAGGCACGTGGTGTTGTTTTTGTTGTAGACGCGCCACGCTCTTCTCTCAGTCACCCTGCGCTTCGGAGCACGACAAGCAATCTGACTTTCATGTCGGAGCAGTAATAATAACAACATGCCACGACCATATGTCTGTGAGATTATTGTTTTTATCGTCCAAGACTTTGACTATTCTCCCAAAAGAATAACATTAATATGAGCACAAGTTGAAAAGTTGTAACAATTTTAAATGAAACGCGTCACTCTTGTGTGTCCGCTGCTGCCGCCTTCTGAGGTGTCGCTCTCCGTTATTAAACCTCTTCCAAACTCCTGCCGCCATTTCACTCAAATTCAACGTTTATTTGTTACTAGCGCAGAATCCCGTGTAGCCAGGTACCCAGATAGTTTCGATGCTAACAGCCCGCAGCATAAGAAGTTGTTTTTTGCTCTTGTCGCTCTAGAGAGGAGCCCAGCAAGCAGCCAGGCGTCGATGATGTATATTTGTAGTGTGATGGTGATGGCACAGTATATGGAAGACAAAGACCCCCGTATAGCCTTCACCGACTTTTGTGGCAAGTGCTGTTAGCGAGCACTGATGAAGGCCGACACGACACTCGAAGGGGCTGGGTGGCCAGCGCCATACCCGGCCGCCTTTGTCTCCCCGATGCTGATGTTTTACACACCGCACCAGGTACTTATTTGAGGCTGCGTCGATTCAGATAATCGTCACTCGTGTAAACGTGAGCGCGAATCGAACTGTGGTGATGTGTCACTCACTATGGTGATGTGTCACTCACTGTGGTGATGTGTCACTCGCTGTGGTGATGTGTCACTCGCTGTGGTGATGTGTCACTCACTGTGGTGATGTGTCACTCACTGTAGTGATGTGTCACTCGCTGTGGTGATGTGTCACTCGCTGTGGTGATGTGTCACTCGCTGTGGTGATGTGTCACTCGCTGTGGTGATGTGTCACTCACTGTGGTGATGTGTCACTCGCTGTGGTGATGTGTCACTCGCTGTGGTGATGTGTCACTCGCTGTGGTGATGTGTCACTCACTGTGGTGATGTGTCACGCACTGTGGTGATGTGTCACTCACTGTGGTGATGTGTCACTCACTGTGGTGATGTGTCACTCACTGTGGTGATGTGTCACTCACTGTGGTGATGTGTCACTGTGGTGATGTGTCACTCACTGTGGTGATGTGTCACTCACTGTGTTGATGTGTCACTCACTGTGGTGATGTGTCACTCACTGTGGTGATGTGTCACTGTGGTGATGTGTCACTCACGTAGCGCTTCACTCGCCGCGATTCCTCGCTCGACAGCCAAGGGGCAGTGTCGTCCCATCCTCTCCCTCTCCCTCCCTCTCCCTCTGCAGCACGCACCCACACGCACACATCACTACACATCACAACACATCACACGCACCCCTACCCGTATCCCCCTCGTCACACCCCCCCACCACCAGCAGCTGGAGGATCCTTAAAATCACAGCGGGCGAGTGCGAGTGGGGAGAGGTTGGGTGAGCGCGCAGCGGAGACCCGGGGAGCGGCGCGGGGCTTTCGGTGTTTGTTGGGGCGAGTGGAGCTGAGTGGAGCCGAGTGAAGCCGAGTGAAGCCGAGTCGAGCGAGAGCTCCGTAGCCCGAGTCGGGATCCTGGTCGCGGGATCTGAGCGGCGGAGACCGGGAGAGAGCGGGAGCCGCGAATCGGAGTCACGGTGAGCCGTTACGTCTCAGCTTCGTGGCATGCTGATGGTGATGGTGCTGATTAGGCTATTGCTACTGCTGCTGATGGTGATGGTGCTGATTAGGCTATTGCTACTGATAGTGATGCTTTGGCTGTGAACGGAGGGGGTAGCCCTATGAGGAGCGGGGGCGCAGTAGTTAGCGCACTGCGCTACGAACCCGGCAACCCGAGGTATGATTCCGGGCCACGGCTAACATCAGTGGCGATACCATCATTGAAATGAGTACCGTTTGTGTGGTGTATCAACAGCGGCACTGGGGATAGACAAAGGCGGCCGGGCGCGGTGCTGGTGACACCGCCCGAAGTGCATCGTGCTGGCATTAATAGGTGCTCGCTAACAGCACTTGCCCCAACAGTCGTGTGAAGGGTATACGCGGGATCTTTGTCTTCCATGGAAGTCATGGTCGTTATGATGATGATGAGGATGATGACAATGATGACGATGATGATGAACATCACCATCATCGCTGCTCGCTTTGAAAAATACAAATCATTGTGGCAGTGACCAGGTGTGCTTGCTGGCAGTACAGCTGTCTCTGTGTGGGAATGAATGAATTTGTCTTTACAAATCGGGTCCCGTTATCTCTTATCGTGGCCAATCGTCGCATTTTCTTTGCCTGTGGCTCGTGTCCGTGTGCATAGTGCAGTATCGCGCAGGCGACAGTCGATGTAGACTGTCGATATAGACAGTCGATGTAGACAGTCGATGTAGAAAGTCGATGTAGAAAGTCGACGTAGACAGTCTACGTAGACTGTAGACAGTCTACGTAGACTGTAGACAGCAGCTGGAGGATTGTAGACTGTCTACATAGACTGTCTACATCGACTGTCTACGTAGACTGTAGACAGTCTACATAGACGTAGACAGTCTACGTAGACTGTAGACAGTCTACGTAGACTGTAGACAGCAGCTGGAGGATTGTAGACTGTCTACATAGACTGTCTACAATCCTCCAGACTGTCTACAGTCT